AGAAGGAGGACCATCTTCTTCAGGGATCCTAGATCACCGAGCCACAATGACGTCGACAGTTGAATGTCAGGAACAGTTAATGTTAACGACTAACGGGCAGGTAGCACATACAACATGGATACTATCGACAAAGAGATGATTCATATTCTGGGTGGGATTGAGCAGGATGGCACATGACTTCATACTACTCAGAACAGCTGCAATTTAAAACTGATAAATTATTTATTTCTGGAATTTTGCATTTAATATTTTCAGACCACAGGTGACCTTGGATAACTAAAACTGTGGAAAGTGAAACCACGGATAAGGGGAGACTACTGAATAGGAATGGCAAGTAAGCACATGAAAAGATGGTAATTGTCAACAGTCATTCAGATAAATGCAATGAGATGATATACTATTCCCCACCCCAAAAATGGCTAAAATGAAAAAGAGTGACACTACCAAGTGCTGTGTAGGCAAATAAAAGAGAACTCTCACACTTTGGTAGTGAGAATGTAAAATATAATGCAACTTTGGAAAACAGTTCGGCAATTGTTTATAAAGTTAAACATACACTCACCATATCATCCCAGCAATTCCATATCTAAATATTTATAAACAAAAATAAAACCATATGTCCCCACAGATTTTATACAAACATTCACAGCAGCCCCAAACTTTAAGCAATCTAAAGATTTAACAATAACTGAATGGATAAACACAATACTATATATCCACACAATAGAATACTACTTAGCAACTGAAACATAAAATTACTAATATATGCAACTGCATGGGTGAGTCTTTTCAAAAAACATTATGCTGAACCAAAGCAGCCAGACACAAAAGAATACATACTCCATAATTTGTTTTCTATGAAGTTATAGAAAAGATGAAACAAAGCAATAGTGACGGAAGTTAAGTTAGTGGTTGCCTGGGGTCAGAGATTATCAAGGCGGTATGACTGTAAAGGGGAATGAGAGAACTTCTTAAATGGATAGTAATGTTCTAATCTTGATTGTGATGGAAATATATAGGTGTGTATGTATCCCTTCGTGCACACATACTTACCCCCTTTCTTCCCATAACTTGTCCTGTGTTTTTCTTCTATCTGGCTGTTCTTGACTTGTATCTTTTATAATAAGCCAATACATGCAAGTAAAGTATTTCCCTGAGTCCTACGAGCCATTCTAGCAAATTATCAAAACTGACAGGAGGACAATTGTGGCAACCTCTAACTTTGTAGCCAAAGCAGACAGAAGTGTAGGTACCCTGGGGACCCAGTACTTGTGACTGCCCTCTGAAGTGAGGACAATATTCTTGGTCTGAGCCCTTAAACTTGTTGAGTCTGATGCTAATTCCAGAGAGTTAGTGTCAGAATTGAACTGAATTATGGGACACCCGTTTGGTGTCCAGACAGTTGGGAAACTGGTTGTTGGTGTGGAAAATCCCCACACATATGATGTCAATAGTGTCAAAGCTAAAATAGGATAGAAGGATAAAACAAAAGGTTGGTCTAGTATTCATATACCAGTGACCCCAAAGTAAATGTTTAAAAATGTAAAAGTTCTTTGACAGCAATCACAAGACAAAATACGAACTACGAATAAATAGCTTTTCTTCTGTAGACTGGAAATTAGAAAATCGGACTCCCAGCCCTGGCTCTGATACTAGCTACATGAATAATCTTGGCCAAGAATAACAAAGATAATAATAATACAGTCAGTATCAACTAAACACCTCGAATGTGCTAAGTTCTACTCTAAGCACTGTGCAAATCTGATGTCAAATAATACTCAGAACAATTCTATGACCTAGGAATTACTTGTGTATCCATTTTGTAGATAAAAAATGAGGTACAGTGAGGCTAAGGAACTTGCCTTAATTAACATAGTTAAGTAACAAAGCCAGGGATCAATTTACTAGTCTGTTTTAGTGTCAACTTGCTTTTCCCTTAAATTCTTAATTTGAAAGAAAAAAAAAAAAAAGTGAGTGAGAGAGAAAAAGAAAAGTTTGAACTAAATGATTCCTAAGGAACTATCCAGCTATTAAATTTGCACTTTTCTCAAAAATATTTATTTGTTGTTGTTGTTGAATTAAATTTATTTCCAATAGCATCTCAAGAAATATGATTTGAAAAACAAATGTGGGATCAACATTTCTATATTGTACATTATTTTACCTACTAATCACATCGCCTTTTAGTCTTTGCTTTTTAAATAGAATTTCATCATATTGAACTACTTATAATCCTAATAAATGTCCTCTGGTAATCTTGAATGCTCTTTACCAAATATTTCCAATTAACAAACAGGCGATATCTTTCCATTAATTTGGGTCATTTTTAATTAGTTTCAGCAATATTTGGTAGTTTTCAATGTACAAGTTTTTCAACACCTTGGTTAAACTTATTCCTAGGTATTTTATTCTTTTAGATGCCACTGTAAATGGAATTGCTTTTTTAACTTCCTTTCCAATTCTTCATTGCTGGTGTGTAGAAACATGACTGATTTTCGTGTGTTAATTTTTTAACCTACAACTTAGCTGAATTTAATAGCTCTGCTGTTGGCTATTTTTGACAAGGCATTGCAAGAAAAAGACAAGCTTGGCATCAAATTCATAGGAAAAAGAGAATTCACAAGCATTGAATCACAGGAAATAGAAAAGTTTAGAAATTTGGGAACTTTCACAGACAACCACTTCACAACTTCAATTTATGAAAGAAACAACTGATAAGATCTTTCAGCAACAAAGACCAACTACATCAGCCTTGCAGCAAGTTATAAAACCAAGTGTTAGTCACATGCACTGTTAAAAACTCAATGGATTAAAGTGTCTCCAAGCAAAGACCTAATAAGCTGGGACTGCCCAGTGTATACGTTAATTTGAACTAAATGATTTGGGGAAAAGAGAGCCCAAGGATTTGTTTGACCCAGGTGTGATAAAAATGAAGTTATCTGTAATCAAATAAAGAGAGAGACAAAGACATACAGATAAGCATGACATGGAAAACATAAATATATTAAATCTAGGAAGTAGTTTTCTAAAGCAACTGTGGTTATGCCTTTAAAAAACAGAGCTCGCTGTAATAAAATAGGTAAGAAGCCCAAAGAATCATTACCCTAAACTGTGACTATTTGTTACCTAAAGTGACTCTTGGGCCCCCAATTTTGTATAGACAGAAAGCAGTCTGAAAAACTGGATAATCTCCAATATCCACATAAAATGTAGCCAACAAAGATACTGAAAAATGAAAAACCTACAAGACCACAGGAACCATGGACTGGAGAACATGTTCGGAACACTGAAAAAAGAATCATGGTACATCAAAGAGAAATCCCTACCCTTAGGACAGAGACTCCTATCTAATCTGTCTATTGAGATTTTAGAATTACTACTTACTAGAGATAGCTGTGTGTCTCTGATTCTTTACCTATAATATTGGGAGTGTTTACAGTAAATACCTTTGTCTCATCACTGTATAGCAAATATGTTTTGGCTAAACAACTTATATTTTAACTTTTAGCTCTTCAAGTCTAGAGGGACCATATCTGGACCCTGTAATATAGAGACTGCAGCACTGTCATTCCCCTCCTATCACTCAGAGACCCTGTCATTTGAGGCCACAGCTGTATGAAACTTTCAGATTTTCCCCCATGTGGACAGGATATGTAAATTTGCTTGTGAGATGGAGACTTTGAATATTTGCTGTCCAAAATAGTAGAATGAGGCATATTAATTCTGTTCACCAAATTTTTCCTACTCTCTCCCTTCCAGGTTCACAGAGGATCTCAGTACCTGACTATTACTATTGGGTGGGGCCATGGGGATACAAATTGGGACTGGAAGTTTCATTTCCAGGCCAGAGTATTTAATTACTGATACAAAGTCTAACAGGGTTCTCTTTCACTCTGCAATAACAACTGGTAATGTTACACATAGGAATGAATTACACTATCAATATACTCCCAGGGTGAGGACGGCATGAGACAGAGGCACAAGACAACCTTCAATGTATATGTAGCATGGGTAAAATACAAACTTTTGTTGTCTGAAGCCAGAGAGTTTAGGGTATAACCCAGCCAATCCTGGCAAATATATGCTTTATGCTGCTTCAAAGTTCTGTGAACTTAACTCTTCTCTGTGCTTTTTCTGTCCATTAATAAAGTTATAGACTTATGACAACCTGGCATTTCACCACCCAAAATAGTATAACTGTTACATCAAATTTATGAAATTCCCTGTGTATTTCCTCTTTCAAGCCATTTATTAAAATGACATTGAAAAATATTTAGTAGAATTGACCCACATCTTGATGATGGTGTGGCGTTTTTAAAAATTTTCATTTCAATTTATACCAAACTTTGTTTCCTAATTCTTAGTAAATTTTCTTCCCAAGATATAAAACAGGTCCTTTAAACAAAGTTGATTTACTTTTCACCTACCAAGTTTTATATTATTGAAAAGTATTGCTAGGAACTTCTCACATACATTATTTACACTATGATACATCCATAAATTCTCAACTGAATGTTTCATGTAAAGCAGCTAATCATTTAAGCCTTCTAAAACATTAAATCAAGAAAAGAAAAAAATTCAATGGAAAAATTCAAATACCAATGCCTGTTTGGAACAAAAGGTAACTCAAACATATATAAATGGTTTAAAAGTTCAGATGTTATTTCTAAATCATATGTCATGAAAAGTCATTCATGTTCCATAATGCATTCATAGCTATCTTTTTACTTCTGATATTTGGTGAATATTATTATAACCCAGAAATTAACATAATAATAATCATTAATTTGAGGGAGACCCACATATTTTAGGCTTTTAGTCCTGTTTCGAGTCTATCATAAAATTCTCAAACTTTTAGTTTACATAAGTATCTATTTTTTTTCTCCAAAACACACCAAGGAAAGTAAATGGCATGAAACTGAATAAACAGTTTTAGAGCTCTCCAGGGAGAAGAATCCGAAGAAAAGTATAAATATGTAGTGGATGTGCACTTTTATTACCTGAGCGTTTAGTAACTCCTCACACTTGTGTGCTTGTTTCTCGATTGCAGAAATGTACTGCTTTTCAATAGATTCTACTTGTTGCTTAACTGAAGACTGCAGTAGTGCCTAAAAACAAGCAAAAAAGTCATTTGGATCACAGACATAACTTGGAGTCTACTGTTGGCATGAGAATTTTTGACAGTTGTACATATCTGAAATAGGATACTCTTCTGCATTACAAAATATACACTTGTGAATATTGAAGCACATTTATATATATATAGCACTACTTTAAGTCTTCAGTTTCGGGTTTTCCTATTGCCAAGATTACAGTTTTTTGGCTCAGATGTTCCTTCCACACACCTTCTCCTTTAAAAAGGCCAAGTCACAGAAGATGATAAAGAGAGTGAGTCTCTCTGTTAAATATAAATTCAGTTCACCAAAGACCACACAGGATGAGGAGCATGTGAAAGCTGCTGAAAAAAAAAAAGAAAAAAGAAAAAAAAACCAGACATATTTCACTGGCTGACAAAACTCCACATCCTCTCGGCACACTGTAATATCCCATGGGCCAAGCGTGATCTTCAAGACCACAAGTCAAGTAAAAGCAGATGGAAACTCTGAGCAACTTCAAACATAAAAGAACTGCCCCCCAGGAAGTTCACACCCCCAATGTGAAAGGTATAAGTCAAAGTGTGTAAGTCAGAATCTCAAGGCAGTATTCATAAAAAGTAATAAAACCTGAGAAACTGAACAAACTTTACTGGGTAGTGTAAATGCTGGAACCTAAGTCAGTTACCACTGTTCTAAGAAAAGCCAAATCAGCATTTGAAGATGTTCCATCCACTCACTTCCTTATTGGAGATACTTACAATATTATCATCTTTTTTCTTTTCCTTTTTTTAAAGCTTTATATGTTATACTAAGATGTTCCCAACAATGTCTTATATGCTATTTATAAATCCTAAATCATTCTAAAATATGCACTCGACCATATACATAAGAACTCTTTAGCAAATACTCTATTTTTAAAGGTCTATCTGTATAATAAACTACTCATAATCAAAATAGTAAGTTGAAACAGACACATCTCATAGAAGAAAACAGGCCATTGGAAGACTTACCAAGAAAAGAAAAATAAGACAAATCTCTTAATGTCTGTTTTGAAAACAGATTTACTTAATTGAAAACAACATGCATTAACATGTTAAGTACTCATGTATTTAAAAAAAACTGAGACAAAAATATTTTTAAAACCTCTGGATAAGTCTCACATTTTGAGATCATTAACTTTCTCTTGCAAATGTTAGACTGTCTAATGATTCGTTAAGTACTCATGTATTTAAAAAAAACTGAGACAAAAATATTTTTAAAACCTCTGCATAAGTCTCACATTTTGAGATCATTAACTTTCTCTTGCAAATGTTAGACTGTCTAATGATTCTACTATTCTTACAATTCAGTAGTCATCACTAAAAAGCTGCAGAATTACCAGTAAATTAGTAAAAAATATATAAAAATAAAGCTCTGACTGAGGTTTAATCAAAAATAAGGAACTGCTTACTAGGATTGCTCTAGCCCTTGATGTATACAATGTATCTTTTAAAGTTCCTAATAATTAATTTACATAAGGCACCCCAAAATTTAATCCTTTTAAACTATGACTAACAATATAAGTCTCTAATTTACCTTTGGCAAAATACCAGGGGTCTTCAAAAAGTTCATGGAAAGATTGGTATTATCTTTCAATTCTATTCTTCCATAAACTGTTTTTTTTTTTTTTTTTTTCTGTCTTTTTTCGTGACCAGTAACGGGATGGCAACCCTTGGTGTCGCGCCCGCACCGCGCTCAACCAGTGAGCGGACCGGTCTCTACATGGGATCCAAACCCTCGGCCGGCGGGAGCGCCACCGCGCTCCCAAGCGCCGCACTCTACCGAGTACGCCACCGGGCTGGCCCTTCCATAAACTTTTTGAAGTACCCTCGTATACTATTTGTTGGAGTTAAGAAAATTAAAGAATTATATAATTATAGACAATTCCCTCAGAATAATCACAGCACCTTTTATAAACAGAAAACTGTCATTCTTTTTGGGGACTTGGGGTGTGACAGAATTGTTTTTTTAATGGAAAGAACTGTTTTCACTTTCATATCAGCCACAAATTCAAATAATCCCACAATTACACAATGGAATACTACTCAGCTATAAAAACAAATGAAATACTGCCATTTGCAACAACATGGATGGACCTTGAGAGAATAATATTGAGTGAAAAGAGTCAGGCAGAGAAAAAGAAATACCACATGTTGTTGCAAATGGCAGTATTTCATTTGTTTTTATAGCTGAGTAGTATTCCATTGTGTAATTGTGGGATTATTTGAATTTGTGGCTGATATGAAAGTGAAAACAGTTCTTTCCATTAAAAAAACAATTCTGTCACACCCCAAGTCCCCAAAAAGAATGACAGTTTTCTGTTTATAAAAGGTGCTGTGATTATTCTGAGGGAATTGTCTATAATTATATAATTCTTTAATTTTCTTAACTCCAACAAATAGTATACGAGGGTACTTCAAAAAGTTTATGGAAGGGCCAGCCCGGTGGCGTACTCGGTAGAGTGCGGCGCTTGGGAGCGCGGTGGCGCTCCCGCCGGCCGAGGGTTTGGATCCCATGTAGAGACCGGTCCGCTCACTGGTTGAGCGCGGTGTGGGCGCGACACCGAGGGTTGCCATCCTGTTACTGGTCACGAAAAAAGACAGAAAAAAAAAAAAAAAAA